TGGTTTCTCAAGAATAAGTAATTAAGGTTGTTTTCCAAGGCCTCAAAGTGGCTACCTCAAAACTGGAAAACCGCCAGAAAATGGCTAAGGCAGAAAACTGTGTTGAGATACCAACTTTGAAGGCCTATATCTGGACTTTGGAGCATGATCTCAGGCTGATTCAAGTTGGAGATTAAATAGAAAGTTTTCTTCTACAAAGGAAAGGGATTGGTTCAGTTCGAATCAACCTACAAGATCATTTTTGAAGGGTCAAAGATGCTATAAAGCCTGTTTTCCTAGGTAGGCTTGCTTGTGTTTTAAGTCAGTTTCTTGGCTTGCAAGTTATCTCGCTTTACACGAATTCTTTAGCCTTTTCCTGTTCTAATTAGTTTCCTTGTTAGTTTAGAATTGTATTAGGTTTTCTTTGGCTATAAAAGCCCTCTAGTTTTCGTTGTAATAGTCAGAGAATTGTTGAATAAAAATTACTGCGAGGTGTTTATCCCATTGAGCTTGCGAGCTTGATTTTTGGTCTTGGATACGTCCTAGGCTTGCAGACTTCTCTTTCAAGTCATTCATACTTGTTTGAGTAGTGATTCTACCCTTTCGAAACCGATTGAGCTTGTCCCCAAGTGAGGATTTGTCCTTTCGTTTCAAACCCATCCCAAATCGTACTAAGCACATCCTATTCTTTTGGTTTTCAATTCAATTCAATCCTTTGAGTTGAATTGGCTGCGTACTTTGATAAAAATACACCCCCAGGGGCGTATTACTTCTCCACACTTAACATACATGGTAATCAGAGCATTCACCACATCAACCTCCGATTCAAAACCAAATCTAATAACAGGAGCATGGAGCTCTCTTGCTCTCACAATATCCTGAGCACCACCGCAGCTCCTCAATATACAAGGGAAAGTGTAGACATCAAGCCTAATGCCAATCCACAACATTCTATGGTACAAACAGAGAGCATCATCAAAGAAGCCACCTTTAGCATACCCTCCAACAAGAACAGTCCAGGAAAACAAATTCCTCTCGCCCATTCTCCCAAAATATTCCAAGCACTACCTACATCGCCGAACCTCACAAACATACTCAGCAATGCATTCCAAGCCTAAGACTCAAGGGGACAGCAAGGATTCCAACACAAGTTGGTACACATAACGACCTTCCTTGCGTCCTCTCCGGGACTCGCAGAGTCTCGCCAGGGCAATAAAACTCTCCTCCTCAATCGGGGCTTCCTGCAGCCGCATGGAGTCGAGGTATTCCAGAGCTGGTGTGAGGTTCCCATGAAGACAAAGTTGGAGCAAACCCGAATTCGTGGGTTTCTGGGCAGGGAATGAAGTGAGGTTGTCGAGTGATGATTGAGGGGGTTTAAGCACCGAGAAAAGGGCGGGCTTTAAGGGTTTGGGAGGGAAACCACCATCGCTGCGGCCAAACTTCTTCGGGAGAGAATCTAGGTTTTCTTTAGCCCAAGGGCTCGGGCTTCTCCTTCTTCTGGGACTAGGGCTTCGATGAGCGGAAGATATCGAGCGGCGGCTGCGTCCTCAATCCATCTCCCTATGGCGCTCGTCGTACCTGTTGTAGGAAGGGTTGCGAAGAGTCGGATTCAGGCGTGTGCCGGCCGTTTTGGCGATCCGGCCGATAACTTCGATCGGGAAGTTCGATGATCGAAACTGGTCTAGGCATTTTTTTTAGGGATTTTGAGAGAGAGAGGCAGGGAATTAGGGCTGGCTGGGTTTTAATTAACTCGAGGGGTATTTTGGGCATTTCATAAATTACGGGTGAGTTTAATCCGAAACTCAATTAATGTCCGTAACTTTCTCATTTTACGTCGAAATTCGACACCTCTTGAACCGATAGTTCACATTCTAAGTCCTCCTCGACATTACGGTGAAACTTGACCCAATGGTATAATAGTCATTTTAACTTTTGGGAAGAGCGGGGTGTAACAATGAGTGTTTGGAGGCCTTGATGGGCTTTCCCATTATGAATTTGTGGAGTTTGAATGTCGCCCACCGAGTGCTCGATGAAATGCCCAAACCACATAAAACTTGTTTTTCTTGATCTATTGCTTTTCAATTAAACTTGTTTGATTAAGATAGACCTTGAGGAGTGTCTTTATGACTTAGAATTGAATCTTTGATGCTTATTCCTTGAGTTTAAAATTTTGGCTCACTTTTGATTTTGTGCTTCATTATGCTTTTAGAGCAAAGAGTTCAAACTTTGGTTGTTGTCTAATGTGTTGATTCTACCCTTCGGCTGAGGTTTGAAAATCTCTAGAGAGAATGTCGCCGTTGTTTTCATGCTTCTAGACCTCGACCCTAGTCATTAGAACATGCATTTCTACCTATGCACCTCTAGTTTGTACATCGTAACACTTAATTGTGGGGGTGTATAGAGTGAACCTAAGGATGGTTTTTGATGTTCAATTGATCTAGTGAGTTGCCTAATTGTTTGTTTGAACATGTTTTGTGATTTTCTCGTCTAATGATGATCCAACCAAGGGTGAGAGTGATAGTTCTCTTAGCCCTCAACAACCAAGGAACCGGAAATGCCCATGATGAGAAGAACCACAATTTCCAAGAGAAGGACCAGAACTTCAAAGCGAGGAGCAACCACATCAAGCACAACAAATCAACCAATGGAGGCGACTACGAACTATGATGGACCATCCTTACAAGAAAGAGCCTATGATGTGCAACTACCATATGCTCCAATCGTGAATCAAAGACAACTTGGCGTCTAGGGGCCGATTTCTATCTTTTCCATTTCTTTGCTTTTATTTTATTTTAATTAAAACAATGTTTAATTATCACTTTATTTTTCGTTTAATTGTAGTACTTTAAATATTCTAGCAGTAGTAGTATTAGTACTTATATTATATATATATATATATATATATCTATCGTACCTATAAATCTTATTAGTCTTCCTCTCTATCTTATGCGCTTTATTGTTGTGAACCACTTTTGTACCTTGACCAACCCAAAACCAAACCTAAGGTAACCTTAACGATTGGTTGAACCATAAATTGTATGAATGTGTGAATGAATATCATGATTGGTTGAACCACAAATTGCTAGAATTCTCCCATATTGATAAATGTAAGACGTTGATGAATACTTATGGGAGTGTGAGCTAGCAATTGTGTTTGTGTTATGATGATCAATTGTCAAATGATAGTGTTTTGGAACCTAGAATGCTATACCCAATTTTTTTCAAATTTGAGGGTTCCAAAACACCTTGTTGCTTGCAACTGCCTACTCGATATGCTTTAATTTGTTAGATGGTGGATATGTTATGCTCACTAGGTGATGCTTGGATGATTAGAGTACTGGTGTATGAGGGGTTTTACTATTTTCTTCCTCTTTTGTGAGTTAATATGTACTATTTTAGGAAGAACATGTGTGTGGGATTCTCTATTTGTTTGATGATACGCCCCTGGGGGGTGTATTTTTATCAAAGTAACGCAGCAAAAAATCAATCCAAAGATTGATTGAACTCAAATCAAGAACAACGCGTTCTTAATACGAAATTGGGATAAAACGGAACCAACGGACAATTCCACACCTGGGGAAAGCTCGTATGGTATATAAGGGTAGCTGCTCGACCAGGATTGAAGTGAATATTCAATCGATACAAAGCTCACAAGCCTGGAATCCACCAAACTCAAACAAGTCGCAACTTGCACAAAACCAAAGGGTTTGTTTTTCGATTAATCAAAGTCTTAATTTTTACAACGAAAATATAAGGGTATTTAAAGGAAAATAAACCTAATACAAACCTAATGTACCTAGGAAACAATTAAGGTAAAAACAAACTCTAAAAAAATTACAGAACTCGGCCACAAACTTCCTTCCTTGACGCACAAGTAAGCTGCCCGCAAAACAGTCAAAAGGCAGCTTTTGTACTAGCTTCGCACCTTTCGTTCGAGGCCTTCCCGAACTCCAATTCTTCATCCAATTCCTTCCCTTTGTTCAAAAACATACCTAGTTTCATTTTTTGGAAGCCTTTGAAATTGAATCAGATCCATACTCCTCGAATTGAGCTCCAAATTAGACTTCACAAAACAGTTTTCTGCCTTAGCCATTTTCTGCCAGTTTTCCAGTTTTGAGGTAGCAACTTTGAGACATTGGAAAACAACCTTAATGACATCATCTGGATCCAACAAGCATACCATTGGAAACATGGCAACTTTATCTGTAAAAAAAACACTTGATCTCCAATTTCCATTGAGCCATTTGTGAGATACAAGCTTCCAAAGTAGGCTACCTGAAACTATTTCAACACTTGACCAAAAATCAGAATTTTTCATGGGAGGTGAGATGGCTTCTTTGGCAAGTAATTGTGACTTGTAGATTGATGCAATTGGGATCATTTCAGGCTCCCCCTCTTCAAAAAGCTTTGACCTCAAAGCTGGTATGATTCTGCAAGCTACAAAACAATCAGAAGTATACCAAAATGGATCATGAAGATCGGATCTCAAACATGCCACAATGGCCTTCAAACTCTCACTGCATTCATCGTGGCTTCCTTTGGTCGATGATTTCACCAGAACCAAAGCCATTTGCTCCTCCAATTCACTGCCCTGATCCATATCGACGATGATCAATGTTGGAAACTCGGCCGGAACCTTCACGATAATCCCCAGCTTCGCGACGAACTCGGCGAAGTGGTCGAAAGTTGAACGACAAGGATTCGAGCCTCCAATCTGCAATATACTGCTCGAATCAGCTTGCTCCATCATTGAATTATACTTCTCGATCGATTCCCAGCCTTGATTGTTTCTGGAACGCGTGGAATGGTCATCTGGGTTTTTCCCGCCGGCTTAGGAACTCAAATTCCGGGAAACCAGAATTTTGATTTCAGAATTGGGCGTTTCTGACTCAGGAAGTTCCAAGTCGAATTGCTCCTTCCTACAGCTTCTTGGGATCAACCTTGATGGTTTCACAGCATCCGATTGTGTCAAATCAGGTCCAAAATCCCCAACCCATTCAAGCAATTTAACATCCAGTTCTGCCGTTTCCAGGGGAGTTTTGCTCCAAATTGAATTCTGCGAATCAGTTGGCTTTCGGACGAGCTCTTCCATTGTTGTCATTCCTGGGTTGTGTGGATGGAATCGGCTGCGTTGGTCGAGTTCGACGGTGCCGCTATTGCTCCGACCAGATCACACAATAGTTCATCATGTTCGGACAGTTGCAGAAGTGTTGGACCTCGATCAGGCTTCTGCAAATCAGTTGAACTCGAGCCCGCCTGTTCAAGGGAAGAGCTTCCCACTGCCGGAGGTAAGGTGTTGGGTTGTGGGTCTGTTATCGACTCGCTTCCCAGATTGCCAGCCAACTCTCCCTCTCATACTCTGCTTTGTTGACGAAAAACAAAGGCGCACAACTCCATCGGACAGCTCTTCCTCAACGAGCTTGATCTCCAGCTGCTGCTCCTTATTTAAAACCTCCATCGCCAGCAGCAGTTCCTCTTTGATAAACCGTTAATTTCACATGTTTTTACCCCTATTCTTGAGCCGTTTGAGATGTTGATTCTCGTGTTTTAGGCCGATTTCACGCTAGGTTGTGCTTGTTTGTGATATTTCAGGTCCTAGTACGTGAATGAAGGCTTGGGAGCGAGTTCGGGGTCGATTGGACGAAGATCGGACGTGTGGCGAGTAGCTGAGGAAGCCACACGGGCACAAATAAATCCCACACGGCCGTGTAAGGAACCAATGTGGCCGTGTGGGATTGTGCGAGGCTTCACACGGGCAGACTAGGGATCCTACACGGCCGTGTGTCCCTGGCCGTGTAGGTAGCCTGAAGTCCAATTAATCAAAACTCGGTGTTTTAACTCTCACACGGGCATCTGGGTAAGCCACACGGCCATGTGGCCTGCCCGTGTGCATCGGGAATTCTGGTTTTAACCCAATTTCGAGCCACAAGTGAGGGGATCGACTTTGGAGAGAAAAAACAGAGTTTTAGAGAGAGAAAGGGCGAAGAACAAACTCTAGGAGCTATTTGGAGTGGATTTCTCACCATTGAAGCCCAGATTGCGTCCCCAGGAGCGAAGATTGACATCCCAGAGCAGATTTTCCTCATTTTATGAGTATGACTACTCCGATTTCTGTTTTCCTCTCTCTCTCTCTATGGAGTAGAACCCTTCTCTCACTTGGGTATGAAGAACCCTTGTTCCATGTGTTAGGATCTTGATTGTAATGACTTGGGATGATGATACTGTTTGGTTTTAATCGAATGGTGCATGATTCATTGAATTGATTGAAGTCTGATCAGCTTTTCTTGATTTCTGCTGCAACCTGAGATAGATAGAATCTGATTAGGTTGTGAGAGCTTCTTCATTCGGTAGTTGTAGATTGGCTATACAAGAGTTAGTCCGTCTACTGCTTTGTACTGGAATCCAATTCCAGTAGTGGAGTTCTGTGCTTATTGCTTCAGCTTTCTATCCCGGTGAAGACTAGTCGTCTACCGGGTAGTTAGACTAAGAGGCCTTGGTAAGCTTAAGAGATTCCAAGCTACTGTCGGATCTTCCGCAGTCTAATCAACGGTAAATCAACCCAGGGTATTTACAATTGAGACCTAACTAAGGAGCTAGGGGGACTCATTCCCGAGTGACTCTTCCTTTGCTTGAGAAAACCGAATCAATTCCTGCTTTCTTTCTACTTTCAGTTAAGACCAAAATCAATCGACTTAGTTTGCTAGATAATAGATAATCACGTCGTAGGCAGTAGATCTAGACCCCGGGTTGATATTTAGAACTTGCCACTTTACTGCATTCCCGGACTGCGATTACACTTGGTCGCAGTTTGGTGTTGTGTTTTGGCGTGTCAAGTTTTTTGGCACCGTTGCCGGGGAACCTCTAGGTTATTGGGGAAACGTGAAAATTTGTTACTCTAGCTTTACTGCATTTTATCTCTTCCACCTGTGTGCCTTCACGGGTTGCTTCTACTGATTGTGTGCAGGTAGTGCATGACCCGTAGCCAGTCGGGAGATCTACTACCATTAGACCAGGAGCTTGAACGAACCTGCAGGAACTTCAAGCAGGCTCTAAAGGCGTGACTGGCTGTGGAGGAGCAGACTATGGGATACTACTGGAGCGCTAGAGCCGCGGACATGAGGTCACCCATTCAACACCCTCATGTACCAGCAAATAATTTTGAGGTGAGGACCTCTGTAAGCACCATGCTGCGAGGTTCGGTGGTGTTCCGTGGCCAAGAGAGGGAGTGCCCACAATCATATCTTAGGCGATTCCACGAGTTCATCGATGGAATCAAGATAAATGGGGTCCCAACAGATGCCATCAAGCTGAGGTACTCCCCGTTTACTCTGGAGGGGCAGGCCAAGGAGTGGCTAGACACTCGACCTCCAGGCTCTATCACCACGTTCTCCAACCTGGCGGACAAGTTCCTCACCCGCTACCATCCTCCGTCCAAGACGGTGGACCTGCAGAAGCAGATTACCCATTTTGCTCAGGATGAAGACGAGACCATCCGGGACGCTTGGGAGAGATACATCAGTCTCTTCTATCATGCCCTCTTCCCAGAGGACAAGCAGCTGATTGATTCGGTCTGTGGCCGGAATATACTCACCAAAACACCGCCCCAGCTAAATCAACTTTTTGAGGAGATGGCAGAGCAGGGCTATGACTGGGGAACTGCGAGGAGATCGAGACGAGCACCAGGACAGGGTGTGCATGTTGTATCCACCCAGTCATCTGATTTGGTGCAGGTGGTATCGAAGCTGGTTTCAGCTATCGCTCGTTCCGGGATGATTGCACGTACCGAACAGAAGCAGACGAGGCTCTGCCAGTGGTGTGAGAGTTCTCATCATACCGTGGAGGATTGCCAGGCGATGAGGGAGTCTTCTACTCCCCAGGAGCAGCTGGACTTCATCGGCAATGCCAGGCGCTTCGATCCCTACAGCAACACTTACAACGAGGGGTGGCGCCAGCATCCTAACTTCTCCTGTGGTGGGGCAAATTCCAGACCACAAGTCCCCCAGGGACCTCCTGTCTTCTAGAGGCCTCCTTACCAGCCCAGACAAGGGCAATTTCAGCAGCCACAACATCCAGTTGAGCAGACAGGGCAGCACCTGCAGCCCCAGCGCAGAGTGACCCGATGGCGAAACTACGAGATCTGGTGGGTTCTCTGGCCACCTCTAGTGCAAACAAGTTCAATAACATCGAGCAGTTCATGGAGAAAGCTTCAAGAAAATTCATGGAGGTAGAAGCTTATCAGAGAAACACGCAGGCTGTGCTTCAGGATATATAGACCCAGCTTGGGAGTGTTGCCCAGGCTGTAGCTCAGAGGCCTCCTGGTACTCTACCCGGTCAGACCATCCCTCATCTGCAGAAAATAAGCACTGCAAGGCCATTACCACCAGGAGTGGCAAGGTGACGGCCGATCCACCTGTTTGGGCAGAAGAGAGACTCCTACTTCAGCACTTCCCGCTAATGAAGAGGAAATGGAGAAGAAGGTTGAGGTGCCTGCTCCTAAACCGCAACCAGTGGTGAAGGAGTATGTACCCCAGCTTCCCTTTCCTACTCGGTTGCACAAGGACCGACTGGAGACTGAGTTTGCCAAGTTCATGGCAATGTTGAAGCAGGTGAATATACGCATGCCCTTCGTGGATTCCCAAGTATGCCAAGTTCATGAAAGATCTCCTCACCAACAAGAGGAAGCTTGGGGAGCTGTCAAAGGTGATGCTCAACGAGGAGTGTTCAGCCATCCTACAGAACAAACTACCAGAGAAGCGAAAAGACCCAGGGAGTTTCACTATCCCTTGCATTATTGGTAGTTTGCATATAGGGAAGTCCTTGGCGGATTTAGGCGCTAGCATAAATGTCATGCCATATAAACTGTTTAAAAAGCTAGGCCTAGGTGAACCTAGTGTTACTAGGATGAGCATTCAACTTGTTGATAGATCCATTGTGCATCCTAGGGGCATTGCAGAGGACTTGATAGTCGCAGTAGGGCCATTCGCTTATCCTGTTGATTTTGTGATTTTGGACATAAATGAGGATGTGGATGTGCCATTGATATTGGGTAGACCTTTCTCGCCACCGCCAAGGCGCTCATTGATGTGAATGATGGAAAACTGATTTTGCAAGCTGGGGGTGAACAAATCACCTTCTCTGTTTCTGATAATATGAAACACCCCCAGCTCCATGATGATCTAGATTACTGTGATGTTGTTGCTGATTTTGAGACCGCACTCGCCATCACGAGTGCGGGTACTGATGATTTCCTTGAGCGTTGTCTTTTGCCAGGTGAACAGGCATCACAGGACGTGCAGCTGGAGGAGCAGCTCACGGAGCTAGACGAGGCCGCGATCGAGGGGCGAGAGATACCATTCAAGCCGATCCTTATCTCGCCCCAGATTGCTACATCATTGGAGGACCCACCAGAGCTAGAGCTTAAGCCCCTCCCCTCTCACTTGGAGTATGCATTTCTCCGGGAGGGGAATAAGCTCCCGGTCATTATTAGCTCGGATATGATACCCGAGCAGAAGAGCAGGCTGGTGGCTCTGCTCCAAAAGTATGCCCGGGCCATGGCATGGAAGATCACAGACATTAGAGGCATTAGCCCATCCTTCTGCTCCCACCGAATTCTGATGGAGAATGAGGTTAAGCCAGTCAGGCAGCCGCAGAGGAGATTGTCTCCTAACTTGGAGGCAGTGGTCCGGGCAGAGATTGTGAAGCTAATGGATGCAGGGATCATCTTTGCTATATCTGATAGCAAGTGGGTCAGCCCCACTCAGGCGGTCCCTAAGAAAGGTGGGATGACTGTGGTCCCGAATGAGAAGAAAGAGTTGATCCCGATGCGGACCGTGACCGGCTGGAGAGTCTACATCGATTACCGGTGCCTGAACGATGCCACCAGGAAAGACCATTTCCCCCTACCTTTCATTGATCAGATGCTGGAGAGGTTGGCTGGCCATGAGTTTTATTGCTTTCTGGACGGCATCTCTGGTTATTTTCAGATTCCTATTGCACCAGAGGATCAGGCGAAGACCACATTCACTTGTCACTTTGGCACTTTTGCTTACCGGAGGATTCCATTCGGGCTGTGTAATGCACCGGCGACCTTCCAAAGATGCATGATGGCGATCTTCGACCGACTGGTCGGAGAGATCATAGAAGTCTTCATGGATGACTTCTCGGTTTATGGAGACTCCTTCACTCAATGTCTCCATAACCTGGAACTCGTTCTGAAGAGGTGCGAGGAGACTAATCTGGCACTCAGTTGGGAGAAGTGCCATTTTATGGTCCGTGAGAGGATTGTGCTCGGGCACAAGATCTCCAAGCAGGGGATTGAGGTGGATCGCGCGAAGATTGAGACGATCAGTAAGCTACCTCCTCCCGTTTCTGTGAAGGGGATTCACAGTTTTCTTGGTCATGAAGGCTTCTACCGGCGCTTCATTAAAGATTACTTGAAGATTGCCCTGCCTCTGACCAAGCTGCTGGAGAAGGATGCACCATTCCAGTTAACTCCTAAGTGCACAGCTGCATTTGAGACTCTTAAGGAGAAGCTTACCCATGCACCTATCATGGTGACTCCTAACTGGTCTCTCCCTATTGAGCTGATGTGCGATGCGAGTGACTATGTAGTCGGAGAAATTCTGGGTCAGAGACACGAGAAGCACTTTCAGCCCATCTACTATGTGTCCAAGACCTTGAACGATGCACAGGAGAACTACACCACCACTGAGAAGGAGCTCCTCGCCATGGTGTATGCGTTTGATAAGTTCCGACCCTATCTGGTGCTCTCCCATGTGGTGGTCTACACTGACCACTCGGCGATTCGCTACCTGATGAGCAAGGCTGATGCAAAGCATAAGCTCATCCCCTGGATCCTGCTGCTGTAAGAATTCGATATAGAGAACCGGGACAAGAAGGGAGCCGAGAATGTTGCTGCAGATCATCTTTCACTGTTGGAAGCCCCTCCGGTGGACAACTTCGTTGAAGAGATCAATGACTCCTTCCCGGGTGAGAGATTGCTGGCGATGACACTGGTGGAAAGCGTGGTCCCTTGATACTGTGACTTTGCCAATTATCTGGTGGGTAAGCAGCTACCACAGGGGATGGCCACTCATGCAAAGTGCAATTTCTTCTCCGACTTGAAGCATTACTTCTGGGAGGATCCTTACCTCTTCAGGATCGGAGCAGATGGTGTGATCCGGCGCTGTGTCATGGAGCACAAGATGGGAGACATCCTGTCTCAATGCCACGAGGGACCTACTGGAGGTCACCATGGAGGAAACCGCACGGCGCGGAAGGTACTACAGTCGAGCTTCTATTGGCCCTCGCTCTTCAAGGATGCAGACACCTTCGCACGACAGTGCGACCGCTGCCAAAGGTCAGGTAACATTTCTTCCCGGGATAAGATGCCCCAACATATCTCTGTCATTTGTGAAATTTTTTATGTTTGGGGTCTCGATTTCATGGGCCCATTCCCTCCATCTTTTGATAATCTATACATTCTGGTTGCAGTGGACTACGTCTCAAGGTGGGCAGAAGCTCAAGCCATGCCCACCAATGATGCAAGACGGGTCTGCTCATTTCTGAAGCAGTTGTTCTCCCGGTTCGGGACACCCCGCGCCATCATTAGTGACAGAGGAACCCATTATCAAGGGAAATTCGCTAAACTCCTCTCTCGCTATGGTGTTAAGCATCAGGTGTCGGTGGCTTACCACCCCCAGTCAAATGGGCAAGCCGAGCTGACGAACCGGGAGCTTAAATGGATAATTGAAAAGACGGAGGGTCGGTCCCGCAAGGACGGACTATAAAAATCCGATTGCAACTTCTCCCTATAGGCTTGTCTATGGGAAGGCGTGTCATCTGCCAGTAGAGCTAGAGCACAAGGCCTTCTGGGCCATTAAGCTGCTAAACCTGGATTTGAGTGTTGTAGGTACTGAACATAAGTTGCAGCTGCCGGAGTTCGAGGAATGGCGTTACCACGCCTACGAGAACACCCTGCTCTGCAAAGAGCGAACCAAGCGTCTCCACGACATTCGGTTGAGGGGCCCAAAGGAGTTTCAGGTAGGTGATCGTGTTTTGCTCTTCAATGCACGCCTGAAACTCTTTCCGGGCAAGCTACGTTCGAGGTGCGGTGGAGATCAGCAATGCTCACACTGAGCCATTCAGGGTGAATGGCCACCTCCTAAAGTTATACTTGGGAGGTGCTGTCGAGCTCGAGGACCCTTAGTTCCTCTACTGCGTCCAGCTAAAAGACGGTAAGAAGCGCTTGTGGGGAGGAAACCCCACTTAGGTTTGCATTTTCTTACCTTCTTCCTTTTTTGTTTTGTTTTTGAGTCTTGAGGTGTTGTCCAAGAGTCGTATGTCGTTTTTGCGTGAAAACAGGTCAAATTCGGAGTTCTGACAGCTCACACGGCCAGCCCGAAAACTCACACGGCAGTGTGGAAATGGGTTCTGGCCGTGTGTATTCCCTGGAAATTTCACACGGGCAAGAGCGGTCCCTCACACGGCCGTGTGGATTGGCCCCCTGCCCGTGTGAAGCCTCGACAAATTCCACACGGCCAGTTGTGCTTTTCACATGGCCGTGTGGAAATCTTCGGCCTGCCCGTGTCGGCCACACGGGCACCTGTGCACCTCACACGGTCGTGTGAGCTTGCCTGTGTGGCCGAGCTAGCCTTTATAAATTTGGCCGACACAACCGCGTGGTCAGAAAATCCCAATCCTCTCGCCGGAATCCTCTCCCCCTCTCAAAAAAACCGCAACCTTTCGCCCTCTTTGGCGATTTTCGGCCATTTTTTGTCGGTTTTCACCAAACCACCTCCACACCCATCCTTTTCTCCCCATTTTTGGCTTATCCCTCGACTTTGAGGCGATTTGAGCCGATTTTGAATCGCCGGAGGCGATTTCCGGCGAGGCTCCGATGAGCATTTCCGGGCAGATTTGGGCCTCTTCGTCGCTTCCATTGCCTTCCCCTCATCATCCCCTACACCTCTACTTGTGTCTCCAGGTTTGATTTTGACTTTAACCTTGTGATTTATGGAGAATTGGGTGTTAGGGTGCATGTTAAGAGAACAACTTTGAATCATGAGAATTGTGTGCAATTGATTGAGGGGAAAGCTTGGTTTGTGTGTGAATTATGTTGGGCAATGTCCCCCATGCTTGTTTGAGCCCTTGTGTGCAAGAAATTTGTCAATTTCATGATTAACTTAATAGTGCACTCAAGGTGTTCGATGAAATGCCTATTTTTCAT